GGGAGCCGCCGCCCGGGCCGGACCGCGGTGAGTGATCCCAGCCCCTTGGACTTCCCCTCCCAGCCGGTGTACGCTCTCCGACCTCCGGAGCCCCATCCCCGGCCGGCCGGGGGCGGGGGGTGGAGAATACTGTACAGTACTAGGTCAGAAGTCGCCCAGTCCTCACCCCTTTCTGCTCTGGACTTTTAGACTCCCTGTTCTAACTGGGGGAGGGCTAAGGGGTGTGTAGGGAGGAGGGGACGGCTGGGTTGGGACGCCCTTGGCTAAAGAATGATTGAGATTCGCCTGCCTCCTGGGGTTTACCGCCCCTAAGTGCAGCAACTTTTTGTTCTCTGACCCAGTTCGGAGCCTTCGAGACTGCCTGTGAAATGGAGGATAGGAGAAACGTTTCCTTCCCAGCCCCCCCCATCCCCATGACTACCTCCAGGCGACCATAACACATGTATAGAACCTGGCCTTATTTCTTGGGGAGCAGTGGTCTTGGGAATGAAAGGTTTAGAAGAAACTGCCCCTCTGACTCCGGTGCCCAGCCATAGGGAAAAGACCAGACCCGGAAACACTTTGAATCTTCGGAGGTTCCTGGTGTTGCGCCCTAATCTGAGACTTCTAAACTGAAAGAATACTCAAGCTGAGACCTGTTTGGTAATGTTGGCCCAGATCAGATCTTTCTTAATCTATGAGCCTTCTTCTCACTATAATCCCTTTTATATTATATGATTTAGGATAGGTAGACAGCAGTAATTGAAAAAGCCAACGTTGGCAATTTTTTAAATAATGCATACGTTATCTTACAACATTGTAATTAAAAATATTCATCTTACCGTTCTTCTGGTGTAATGCTGGGACATTTTTGTGTGTGTGAGCCTGCTGATTGAAGTTGCCAGTTGACTTTCTAGTATTAACTACCAAGGGAGTCTCAAACCTGGCAGCGCCCTGAGAATTTTTTACACTATGGATGAGAGGTCCCCAGTCCAGACTAAATCAAAGTGGGGGGCTGGTTTTTAAATTTCCCAGGTAAATTTTAGTGTGCAGTCTGGGGTGAGAATCACTCAGGCATTTCGATCATGTTTTTTTTTTTTTTTTTTGGTACCGGGGATTGAACTCGGGTCCTTGAGCTTACAAGGCAGGCCACCGAACCGCTGAGCTAAATCCCCGGCCCTCGATCATGGATGATTTGCAGTTTTGGTTTCTTTGCAGTGAGAGTACACACTTTTGAAACAATCTAAGTGCAGAATATTTTTGAGATTTTTTAAGTCTCCTAATATTTTACAGTTGTCCTACCCACTCTTCACTCATCAGTTTGTAATTGTATTTCTTCTTGGTATTATGCCTCTGCAAAGCATATGGCTTAGTTTTTCATAGGAAAGGTCTTTAATTTAGTATTTTTCACAGGTTTATGTGATATTTAATTACATTATTAAAAACTGAAAAACTGGTGATAAGCAGTTTTGCAGTCATACAAAACTGTTGTAAGCACACAGACAACTGAATGAAGCTAGTGACTTGGGTGCCCTAGAAGCAGTCTGCTAACCTCTAGTATCCAGGGCACTGTGGTTATTGATCCTGTAGTAACCAATAATCCAGTAATCCAGTAGGCCAGTTAGCCAGGCTCTTGCCCAGTTGAGCACTCTTCACCCTCTCCAGCTCATACCATAAATATCCAGTTCCTTTCTTAATCCAATTCTCCAATCTTTCACTCTTTCCATTGATTTACATTAAGCTGCTCTTTAATTACCACTACTGCGTTTATTAAGTTGGGAAGACAAGGCAGAGGTCTTAATCTGATAGTCTGTAACTTTTTCTGATTTTTAGAGAGGTTCGGGATCCAAAAAGTTAAGCATATAAGTAAAATTTCAAGAAACATCCTTAAGGCCCTTAATACTGTACCATGAAAACACATTTCAGGCAATTCCTCAGGTTTTCTCTTGAATAAAGATTTAGAGAATTCAGCATCATACCTGTTTTCTACTTTGTCTTCTACTTTAACCATAAACCTAGGTTCAACTGGAAAGCTCCAAAATCTATTTCCTAGGACTGTATAAACACTGCAACTGGAAATTTAAGACAGCCAGTTCTTTACTGCCATCTGACCAGGGATTCAGAAAGCACAAGGGAAGGAATGGTATTACATACTTTTTTTTCCCCTCTCAGTACTCAGGATTGAACCCAGGGTATTCATACTGAGTGACCTACATCCCCATCCTTTTTAAAAATTTGATATAAGGTCTCACTGCGTTGCTAAGTTGCCCAGGCTGGGTTCAAACTTGCCATCCTCCTGCCTCAGCCTCCCATAGTACTGGGATTACAGACATACACCACTCACACACCAGCTCTGACTGTATTTTTTATTAGTGACTTTAGCAATAAAGCATAACTAGCATATTTAATAGGGATACAAATATAGTAATTATTCAGAATACTCAACACCACCTTTGCCCTAGGAGTCCTTCTCTGGATTGATTCCTTTTGCTACCTAATCCAAAATGAAGACACAAAAACAGACACCGTAGAGTCTTAAATTGTGGTTTTGGTTCCTAGTCTGCCCTACTTGTAATTTTCACAAGCCACTCTGGGTTGTAGTTTCCACCTAGTTCAAAAGCATATCCTTCCAAGGAAGTACCAGCTACACAGCTGTGTCTTGATGTAAGCCACCATTCTCTTTTGGCGGGGGGGGGGGGTACCTGGGATGTAACTCAGGACCTTGTGCTTGCAAGGCAGGTGCAGTGCCACTGAGCTAAATCCCTGGCCCCACCATTCTCTTTTAGAAAGTTTTCTTTTTTCCATAACTTATATTTTGTGTAAGTGAAAACAAGGTATACAGTATCCCAAGATACTTCATTGCCTTATTACATGTTACACCGAAATACCAAGCTGATGCTGAGAATCTGAAGGCTTTTAGCTGTGTCTTTTGGTCCCCACCTTCACAGTGGACTGGACAACTTCATGGTTTATGCTACATTTTCCTCCTAAAAAGTAGACTGTGTCCTTATAGAAAAGCACACCAAATTGGTCAAGTTGATGTCAGGCACTGCCATCATGAAGTATTCTCCACCTCAAAACTGGTGTTGTTCGTAGGGGCCTACAATTTCTTTCTTTTTTTCTTTGTTTTGGTTTTTTGAGACAGGGTCTCACTATGTAGCTGAGACTGACCTGGAACTCACTATGTAGTCCAGGCTGGTCTCAAACTCAGAGTGATCCTCCTGCCTCTGACTCCCAAGAGCTGGGACGACAGGCCTGTGCCACCATTCTTGGATCTTTTTTTTTTTTTTTCCTTTTTTTGGTATGGGGATCGAGCTCTGGTCCTTGCGCTTGCAAGGCAGGTGCTGAAACCACTGAGCTAAATCCCTGGCCCCCACAATTTCTAAGTGATAGTGTAGCTCCTAGCCACGAAGCAGTGTCTAGGATGAATCTGGGAGGGAAAAGATGAAGCAATCATGGGGGCAATTCACACAGCAATAAAAAGGATCCAAATTATGGAAGTACTTCCTCCAAAGCTATGATTCTCATACTTTTTTAAACACAACAAAATCCATTCTGAAATTGTATCCAAAGCCCTAAATATAAAAAGCTTGAAATCATAGGGGTAAGAATATAGCTCAGTGATAGAGCACTTGCCTAGCACAGGAAAGGCCCTGGTTTCCATCCCTGGAAACAAATCTTTTGCATCCCTACTGCAAAAAGAAAAGTAGGGCCGGGGATTTAGCTCAGTGGTTCTTGCACCCGCTCTGCAAGCGCAAGGACCTGAGTTCAATCCCTGGTACCAAAATAAGAAAAATAAGTAAATTTTTAAAAAGTCATAAATACCCTAGGTTCCTCAACTGTTAAGATACAATTAGGACTGCAAAAACAGATTGAAAAACTGATGTTAAAGGATTTAGTCTTTGCCCACTTTTCCCACCAAGAGGCATATTACCTTACATCTGAGTCATCCATGAGATGAAACAACAACAACAAAAAAAATGCTAGGTATTGACCCTTTACTTTGTTCTACGCATAGCATCAAGGGTATTTTATTTAGTCATATCTGCCAGGTAGGTACTTTGCTGCAATTAATCTCAAATCTGCCACAGCCCAGACTTCCATCTCTTAATAAAGCATCTCTACTTTCTCCCCACCTATACATTAATACTAGCACATAATAGTAAAAATAATACAGTACACTCGGCAGTCCGTCCCCTGTCCCCCTAGCACCCAACCCCTTTCCCTCTGTGTGTATCCTTGTGTAATACAGGCTGGCCTCAACTCTTCCCCTGCCTCAGCCTCCTGAGTTGTGGGATTACAGGTGTGTGCCACATCCAGACAGCATCTTCATTTTTTACAGGAAGAAGCTGAGGCTCATATCATTTCAGTACTTTTACCAATTTCATGTAGCTAACTGGCAAATGGCAGAATTGGGATTCAAACTCAAGGCTGGCCTTAGTGGAAAATTCTTATTTCTGGGGCTGAGGGTTTAGCTCAGTGATAGGACTCTTGCCAGGCTTGTGCAATGCTCTGGCTTCCATCCCTAGCACCGCAAATAAATAAATATCCTTGACATTACATTGTTTGAACTTTATGAACTTGGGTACTAACCTTAACAGATCAGAAGTAATATTTATAAACACAGTTGGTAATCCCCTAAGAGTAAAGGGTAGCAAGTGTTAAAGGATCTCATGCTTACATTGGGAGCTGAATTAAAACTCAACAATATTCCAGGAAATAACTTGAGCAGGTATGTGTTTCAGTTAGAGGTTGTCCCTGGAGTCCCCACACCCCTAACCTGGGAGCAGTGTTGTGCTGGGTTGCTTATGCGAACTGGTTACAATTTATAATGAAGCGGTCTACCTAGTTTTGAGAAGAAAGCTGGACTGCAAAGATAAGAGCTTCAGGCCTTTCCCCCAGAGTGAAAGGGGCTGTTAATGTTGGTAGGAGCTCTTTGGGCTCCCTGGAGAGAGGCTGAGCCGTTGGAAGAGACAAAGGCTGGGGGAGGGGATAACCTTTGTTCTGAGGCTGACAGAGGAGGGAACATTCTCCTGTCCACATGACCTAAACCCAGGGGGAGTGGGCCTTCTTTATCCCAGATCTCAGTCTCCCAGCCTACCGAGAAATGGGTTGGGGGGAGCTATCCAGACTGAATTCAGGGGTTGAAGGTACTATCATTCCCTTCCCCCAATACTCCACCAACAAGAAGGGAAAGGAAAAAAGTGCTGGGGGCTGGGCAGAGGGCAGTGCTGTCCTACCTTCAGGTAGTCATCGGTTTTCCCAACCTCCCTCCACATTCTAGGAGTAATCCTGTGTTGTTAGGTGGAAAGTAATAGTTCTGCTGCTCCTCCTGCCTTTGTGGCTGTCTTTATTTTGTAACTTTTATTCCATGAATTTAGAGGGTGAGAGTTAGGGGACAGCTTCTAGAAGCAAGTTTGATTTGAATGATAAAACAAGTTTGGGCTGGGGATTTAGCTCAGTGGTTCCACTGCTTGCAAGTGCATATTCCTGAGTTTGATTCCCAGAACCAAAAAACAAAAACAAGCATGAATTGAAAAGATAATGGCTTTATAAGAATAATTTTCCCTTCCTAATCTGTACATACAGGTTTTTGTCTTAGTAACAACAACATTCATTAGTCAAATGACTTGGGATAACAACTTTTATGTACCTTATTTTTTTAATACAAAAATTGGGAATTATAGCAGACTATGATGACTTCACAAAGTTATGAAGATTGAGTGACAGCTGGGTGTGGTGATGCATCTATAGTCCCAGCTACTCAGGAGGCTGAGGTGGGAGACTCCTTCAGCTCAGGAGTTCAAGACTAGCTTGGGTAGCCTGGGATTTAGCTTAGAGGTTCCACTGCCTGCCTCGAAAGCACAAGGACCCGAGTTTGATCTCCGGTACCAAAAAAAACCAACAAAAAACAAAAAAAAAGACTAGCTTGGGCAACATAAAGTAACAAAATAAAGAGAAATTTAATAAAATAAATGAGCACTTTATAAGCAATATGCCATGACTAACAGTACTTTCTACATAAAAGTACTTTCTACAGTTGAACACTTCAGCGTTCTGGTTTGGTAGAAATCGTGTGATGTGCCTAAAGAGGAGCCTCTGGGATTGAGCTGTCTCTCTTCTTATTACAGCTGTCTCTGAAGGGCACACATTGGGAGCCATGCCTCCTAGTAAAGAGGCCAGCAGTCTTCATAGCTCACCAGCAGGGCTCATCTGCCTCCCTCCAATCTCTGAGGAGCTACAGCTGGTGTGGACCCAAGCAGCCCAGACCAGTGAGCTGGACAGCAATGAACACCTGCTGCAAACCTTCAGCTACTTTCCCTATCCCAGTCTAGCAGACATTGCCCTTCTCTGCTTGCGTTATGGGTTGCAGATGGAGAAAGTCAAGACATGGTTCATGGCCCAGCGCCTCCGATGTGGCATTAGCTGGTCATCTGAAGAAATAGAAGAGACTCGAGCCCGAGTAGTCTACCACCAGGACCAACTCCATTTCAAATCCCTTCTATCTTTTACTCATCATGTAGTGCGGCCCCCAGAGGAGGTACAGTCTTCTCAGATCCCACCTCCGGAACAAGGTGGTCTTGGAAGAAGCCCTCTGACTCTCAGTGAGCCCACCCAGATGAAAGGATTGAAGGTGGAACCTGAGGAGTCCTCTCAGAATCTGCCACTGCCGCTGAGTCACCAGAAAGCAAAGGAGTCCCTCTTGACACCTGGCAGTGGAGCATTCCCCAAACAACCAGATTTTTCACAGAATCGGCAAAGTGGTAGCCTCTCTAAGGAGCAGGCAGGCAGGGGTCCTGACCATTCATGTGGTATAGGCACCGCTTCCTGGAACCACTCCACTGCTGTTCACCAGCCACAAGCTCAGCATAAGCCATCACTTTCATCACCGGCCAGTAGTTGTAAGGAGGAGACAACACCTCGTGTGACTCCTTCTTCCTCTACCTCTTCTTCCTCTTTCCAGGTACTGGCTAATGGAGCTACTGCCAGCCCTAAACCCCTCCAGTCGCTGGGCTGTGTCTCACAGTCACCATCAGCCAGAGAACAGGCACAGCCTCCACATGTGGAAGCAGGCTGGTCCCAAAGGCTGCGGCCTAACTCACTAGCAAGTAGGGCCAGCCCCACAGGATACCTTTCCCCCGATATGCAACGCCAGCGAAAGATTAAGCGCAAAACCAAAGAGCAGCTGGCAATCCTCAAATCCTTTTTTCTACAGTGCCAATGGGCACGGCGTGAAGATTACCATAAATTAGAACAGATCACGGGTTTACCTAGGCCTGAGATCATTCAGTGGTTTGGTGATACACGTTATGCCTTGAAGCATGGGCAACTAAAATGGTTTCGGGACAATGCAGTGCCTGGTGCCGCTAGTTTCCAAGACCCAGCAACTACCACACCACCATCAACTCGCTCCTTGAAAGAATGGGCCAAGACACCACCTCTGCCAGCACCCCCACCTCCACCGGATATAGGATCCTTGGAGAGGTACTGGGCAGCCCACCATCAGCTCCAGGAAACTGATATCCCTCAGCTGTGTCGGGTGTCAAGGCTGAGCACCCAGCAGGTGAGGGATTGGTTTGACTCTCAGTTACGTGAGCCAGCTGAGGTGGTTGTTTGTTTAGATGAGGAAGAGGAAGAGGAGGAAGAAGAACTGCCAGAAGATGGTGAAGAAGAGGAGGAGGAAGATGATGACGATGACGACGATGATGATGTGATCATACAGGACTGAGTGGGCGGACTAAGGAAAGGGGAAGGTTTGTTACTAAAGGATGAACAGATTTAGTAACTGTTTAAACAAACCACATTTTAAAAATTACTTTGTGACAAAGAACTAAAAATCTTTGTGTTCTTCAGAGTGGGTGATGGGGATATAGTAATTTGAGGATGGATGGGGGAGGATGCCCAAAAATCCTCTAGCCTTAGGGCTAAAGATCTGACACTGAGCTAGGCAACGGCCCTTGTTCTCCTTTTTTCTGGTATTTTTCTCCCTTGGAGCACTAGAGGCTGGGCCTCATCCCTACACCCACAGAAGTCCTAGAAAGAAAGTAGAGAACTGATGATTCAATTGATGATACCAGTGCATCCTGATCCCACCATTTTCCTGGATTCTAAGGCTGCCTTGCATCCTTCCCAATCCTTCTGAGCACAATGCATAATGGAGCTAAGATTCTCAATACGTTCCAGCCTTGTCATAGATACTTCCTGTTCCTCGTACCAACTTGATAATCTCATCTGCTTCATCACTGAATCATGGGAAGCAGAATGTTCTCATTTCTGATACTGGGACCACTTTGCCTCCTTTTCATCGCTACAAAATCCCCTTTTGTTTACTATTTGTCTCAGGGTAAATCTTCCCTGCAGAGTCTCAAAAGGTTTAGAAATGGGTGGTGAATATTTAGTCTAGATATTCATTGGAGGTCGGAATTAGGAGAGATGTCTTTTACAAAACATAGAATTACATTACAGAATGATGAGAAGGGACAGTTCTCCTGGTCAAAGGGTGACAGAAGCAGTACCAGGTTTGGTTTTACAAACCTGACACTACCTCAAATCTAGCTTGACAAAGACTAATTTTTCAGTTTTTTTGCTGTTTAATCTGTGACCAGAAAAGACTTTTCCCTCTCTATAGGATTTGTCTTGGAGACAAAGGGACTATGGTCTTTAACTGAATTATTATTATTATTTTTATTGAGTTTATTGGTACATTTTAGGTATACAGTACAGTTTTAACTGAATTACTGATGTTTTAAAATGGTTTGCATCAGTTAAGATTATAAAAACAAACATCAATCAGTTAACTTTTTAAAAATAAAAGAGAGGAAACCCTGCATCCCTAGAAAAATACTAAAAAGGCCCCAAATTGTTTCTCTCTTTTCTGCTTTGCCACTCCTATCATTTAGGGATTAATGAAGTCAAATCCATTAATAGTTCTAATTTACAGCCAGGGTGCCGCTTGGTGGTAGAATACTTGCCTCGCATATGGGAGGCCTTGAATTGAATTTCCAGCACCAATTAGAATTTTTTTCTGATGTACTATACTTTTTATAATTTCAAGGGGCAGGCTTTGTTGGGTAAAATTAAAAGGACAAAAACTATAACGCAGTAGGTCAGCATCTGTCACCACACACTTTGTTTCATTGTTTTCCAGAAGTCAGGACAATGATTAAAATTTCTGAGGCTTCAGCAGAGACAGAGATACAGTAGGCTTGTAGGTAACTCCTCTTGCTCATCTAACCATTCTAGAGCTTCTAATAGTGACAGGTGCGATAATCATAAAGGGGCATCTTGTCATCTACAGAGTTTATATATCCAACTATTTATGTCAAAGGAAAACCAATATATTTAATGTAACCAGGCACAGAGGAAACAATAGGTAAACAAGAAAAGTATAAAGACAAGGAACAGAGAGCTAATGTTTGCTAACATTGGCAATGGGACATATATCCAAGTGGAAAAAATGTAGAAATGAAACAAGTTGATGAGTATATTATCCAATCTCCCAAGCATGATGCCGAGAATTATTTTTACGATTTTAGTTTCATACTGTAGAACATGAAAGGAGCTACACACATCTTTTGGGGTAGAGATAAACATCTGTCCAAAGCACTAGCCTATAAGACCTGACTGCTTTCCTGGGAGGTAAATAGGATGTACTGGGTAAAGATACAGAAAGCATAAGGTACAGAGTGAAACCAGGAGACAAAGTAGATGTACACTTTCCAAGACTATCTCACTGGATCAGTAGTGGATGCTATAGTCCAGCTCTCAGCAGTACATACAGATCAGACCTTGACGTGGTCTATCTGGAAGTGGTAAAGGCTCCTCTCTCCCTGGCTAATCCCATCTGCCTCTGCTGGTAAGGAGTCTCCTGGTAAACAGAACAGGAAGGCAAACTGAGTGTTTGTAACAAAAATGGCTAGTAAAACACTTTCAAGCTATTATATGAAATTTATCAGAAGATAATCAACCACTGTTGCTTTCCCGAGGCTTTTCTTCTACTGCATGATAGTTAGATTTGGTATCTTTTGTGTAACAAGGCTTTGTTGTTGCTTACAAAAGTATGAAATATTTCAGTGGCTAAGGATGATAAAAAGGATGGTTTATAACAATTATTTGAAAATCAAACTGTTTTGGAAGACCTAGAACATGTGATTACCATGCCCAGAAATGATTAGCAGGGAAGCAGAATTTTTTTTTTTTTTGCAGTGGGGATCAACCTCCAGACTTTATGCTTGCAAGGCAGGTGGTGGCATCACTGAGCTAAATCCCAGGCCCCTGTGGAGAAGAATTCTTATGCTTCTAGGGAGGTGGTACTTTCTTCTGTAACTATTTTTAAACCGGGCGTGGTAGCACACACCTGTAATCCCAGCACTGGGAGGATGCTGTGAGTTTGAGACCAGCCTAGGCTACATAGTGAGTTCCAGGTCAGTCTCAACTACATAGTGAGACCCTGTCTCAAACAAACTAAATAAATAAATAAATAAATAAATAAATATTTTTAAAAGACCTTTAAAGTGGAAAAAATTTAAAAAGGCAGACTAGAATAATGAACTCGGCTGGGCATGATGAACTCAGCTGGGTGTGGTGGCACATGCCTGTAATCCCAGCACTCAGGAGGCTGAGGCAGGAGGATCACTGTGAGTTCGAGACCAGCCTGGGCTACACAGTGAGTTCCAGGTCAGTCTCAACTACATAGTGAGACCCTGTCTAAAAAAAAAAAAAAGAAAAGAAAAATGAACTCATATAATCCTCACATCCAACTTCATGGCTGATTTTTTATTTCTCTTTTCCCACTAATCCTATCTACTAAATTTATACTAAAGTAACATCCAGATATAATTAATTTTCCATTTGTAAAAATTTAAATGCATTTACAAAGAAAAAACTATCATCACGCCTAAAGAAATACCCAATGTCAAAAATTCTTTAATATCAAATGTTCAAAAGACATTTGATTTGATTTTCATGTAATAGAATTTAAGATCAAATATCCTCAAAATCCATGCCATAAAAATTGAAAGGCAAGACTAGACTTTTAATAGAAGCCTTAACAGACTTCTCATTACCACGTCCTTTTCCTTTTGTTGCCCAGATAAGAATCATACTCCCATAAATTTACAAAGCATTATTCTACCTGTCTCTGGAGAAATAAATGTGGTTTTTCATAGTTCAAGGAGAACCTTCACCCAAAAGATACAGTCCAGTGAAAATACTCTTGTGGAACTACTGGGCAATGCCACTATGTCACTGGCTAAGACCTCTTGGTTGAAATTTCACTACCATTTGACTTAATTTTAAAAACTCCCAAGGGGCCAGGGATTTAGCTCAGTGGTACCACTGCCTGCCTCAAAAGTGCAAGGTCCTGAGTTGTATCCCTGATACAAAAAAAAAAAACGGAAAAGAAAAAGACTAGGAACAGGGCATGGTGGTACATTTCTGTAGCCACACCATGGGAAGCTAAAGCAGGATTACTGCCACATGTTCAGGGCCAGCCTGAACTACCTAGCAAGATCCTGTCTCAAAAAAAATCCTGGGAAATTGCAAACACGTTTTCTACATCTGAAACCCATGTCACTCTGCACTGTGGTTACACTCCACCACCTTAACAAGACCAGAGGCTTTTAGTGTGCCAGCAGAGTCATGTGAGTTTTTGTGCACAGGTAAATTAGACTAACCAGGCTTTACCTGCAGGACTGGCAGCTGGAAACCAGGAAGACTCTCTCGAGGAGTCCTGCTTTCCCTTTGACCTGAAGGACAGAAGGAAATGGTAAGGGACAGTTTGGGGCAGTTGTTCAGCAGTGCTACTTGTGGTCAGGGTCTCTGGACCTAAATCAAAGGAACACTACTCAAAAGGGAAACAAATATTAGCTAAGCAATTTAAGAGATAAGTTATAAAGTCCATTATTTCCTGTGAGGATGGGATGCCAACAGAGCAGTCTTGAGATTTGAGTTTAATTATGAGTGGGAAGATAGGGAATATATTTAGGTGAGTTATGAAAGATGGCAGCCCCTTAGCAAGACCACTGGTAGCAGAGGTACTCTTTTTTAAAAAGATGGGGAGATTGGGCATTGTGGCGCATTCCTATAGTCCCAGCACTCGGGAGACTGAGGTAGGAGGATAACTGTGAGTTTGAGACCAGCCTGGGCTACATAGTGAGTTCCAGGTCAGTCTCAAAATATATTTAGGTGAGTTATGAAAGATGGCAGCCCCTTAGCAAGACCACTGGTAGCAGAGGTACTCTTTTTTAAAAAGATGGGGAGATTGGGCATTGTGGCGCATTCCTATAGTCCCAGCACTCGGGAGACTGAGGTAGGAGGATAACTGTGAGTTTGAGACCAGCCTGGGCTACATAGTGAGTTCCAGGTCAGTCTCAACTACATAGTGAGACCCTGTCTCAAAAAATAAAAATAAATAAATAAATAAAAGATGGGGAGAGGCCTGTGATTTAGCTCAGTGGTTCTGTCACCTGCCTCTCAAGTGCAAGGACCCGAGTTGGATCACTGGTACAAAAAAAAAAAAGGGAGAAAAAAGGATATTGATTTTATAATCCTCAGAATTGAGCTCCCAGCATATTCAACATAGGGATTAAAAAAAAAAAAAAAAAAAAGCCAGTTCATTCTAATCTTATAGGTCAACTTGGCTCACTGGCAGAATTCAACGGGTGACAGGATGAGTGTTATGCAGGCAAAATCCAGAGCATCTCTCCACTGTAAAGGAAACTGGGTAACTCTTTAAAAGAATTTAAGGAACCAAACTGGGAACAGTTCTCTTTATTAAGGGCAAGTGTCAACTTTTTGTCACCTGAAAATTTTCATTTTAGTTTGTGTCAGTGGTTGAATCTCCACTCCTTTGGGAATGTTAACTTACCAGAAATGTTGGGGGTGAGTACTCTTGTGTGGCCTGACTCCCCATTTAGAAATGGTCTGACACAAAAAATCCCCATCCCAGAAGGGGTAGATGAAGTTCTAAGGAAAGGAAATGAAAACATCAGCAGAGAAAAGGAAACATAAAAGTAAAATGCATATATAAAGGAAGGGCCTAACCATTTAGGCCAGAGAGGAGGAATCCCCTGCTTGTGAAAACAAAATTAAATAATTCAGATATATATTAAACACAGAGCTATTCAACCTGCTCTTTTGTTTGTAAAGCAGATTATAAACTTCAGTGGTATAGACCAGTGAAGTAACTCCAGGGCTGCTGGAAGAGTGTCCTGGTGAACAGATCCCCAGAGAGGAAGCATAATGTTACTCACCTATAAGACAGGTTGTGAGTTGAAGCTGGCGAAGGAGTTTCTAGAAAACAAAAATTAGCCTGTATGATAATCCAGGAACTGGAGAAGAGACTCAAGATATTAGGGGCTAGGGCAAAAGAAATGGGGATCAAAGATTGAGTATATGTTAGCATTCGGGGCTAATGGTAAGGAAAAAGGCTTACAAGTCACCTAGCAGGGCTTTGTCCTCCATCCCATGAGTTTGGGTCAGGATCCATTCCTGTCTCGATGTACTCTAATGTATCTGCCTTGGTTTACCCACTAAGATGGACATTACTAACTAGAAAGTACAACTAAAGATCAAGGTTATTAAATTGGCTAGGAATGATATCAGCAAAAATGATGGGAAATAAGCACTAAAAATTTATTGCTTCCATAAAAGCAATGAGAAGCCAGGTGCGGTACACACCTGTAATAACTAGCACTCTGGAAAGCTGAGGAGGATCACAAGTTCCAGTCCATCCTGGGCAATTTAGCAACAAGGATACTGTATCAAAACTTTTGAAAAAATTTTTCTAAAAAGGGGCTGGAAATGTAGCTTACTGCAAAGGCCCCGCCTTCCCCCCCAAAAGAAAGCAATGAGAAAACGAGCAAAAATGGTGAGAAGAACTTTTTCTGAACTCTGGAAATCAATAATGAGCTTGTAGCAACCTGGAGAATGGGTATTCTAAAAGACAGCTGAATGTCAACAAACAAACAAGCTTTGTATCATTATTTTAATTTGCCCTATTCTCCTTTCTCCTTCTCCAGCTCCATGAGAGCTGTGAAAACCAACAGGCCATAATCATGGTGAAAACAAGTAGGGCAGTCAATAGAGGGAAGGAGCAGGATTAGAGCTCTGAAGCTTAATTCTAACAGAACTCATTATTTGACCAGTCCAGTGGTTCCCTAGAAGATCTTACTTGCAACACTGTTTTTATTTGACTTGAGTTGGAACTCAAGCTCACCAGGTCTCAGAGTTCAGGGCTCACTAAGAGCAGAAAATCCTTCTCCCTAGAAATGTTTGCTGCAAACAATCAGAGGTACTTGTTTCCGCTGCCTAAAATGATTATCAGCTGAGGCAAATAATAACTAAAAAGAGCATAAAGGAAAAGGTAGGGAATGAGATGTCCATGGGGGCTTTGAAAAGTTCCAACACAGTCCTGGAAATCAAGAAGGTCATGGGCATACCAGGATGTGCACATGCTCAGGAAACACCTGAGCTCACACTTTAGGCTGAACTCCAAGCTGTACAAGCAGAAAGTAAAAGCCAAGCACAGCTGTCACCTAGCTGGCTGAGAGCTGAAAGTATGCAAATTATGTGACACAGAAAGAGGCAAGAAATTGTGGCCTATACAAAGAAAAACAAAAATAGAAACTGTTTCTGAGGAATCCTAGACATTGGGCTTTCTGGACAAAGGTTTAAAACCAGCTATTTTAGATACAGTCAAAGAAATTAAGGAAAGCATATGTAAAACACTAAATGAAAAGATGAGAATGATGCCTCAAAAAATAGAGACTATTCATATCAATTTTATGTAAAAACTCTGAAGTTCAAAAGTATAATAGCAGCTGGTTGTGATGGCACACACCTGTAATCCCAGCACTCTGGAAGGCTGAGGCAGGAGGACTGGAAGTCTGAACCTATCCTAGAAAATTTAGTGACTTAGCAAGAACCTGTCTCAAAAGACAAAATTTTAAAAAGTACTGGGGCTGGGGATGTAGCTCAGTGGCACTGCACCTGCCTGGCAAACACAAAGTACCAAGTTTGATCCCTGGTACCGCAAAACAAACACAAAGATGGAGTCTTGGACATTATGGTTCTAAGTACGATATATAAAGAATGCCTTTGCCATCAATATACTTAAAAAAAAATCCAGTGTGAAGGCCCTGGTTTCAATCCTCAGTATCATAAAAATTTTTAGTAAGAATTTTATAAGTATAACAAGAACTTTACTAGAGGGAGAGATACAATTAAGCAGAAAAAGAATCTGCAAATATGTAAGACAACTGAGATTACTCTGAGCAAAAGAAAGCATGAAAATAACTGAAGCTTTCAGAGACCTTGATGGAACACCAATGTATGTACACTGGACATTCCAGAAGAAGTGGAAAGCATAGGGCAGAAAGGATAATTCAGTAGGTAATGGCTCCAAATCTCACAAATTATATGAAAAATAATCTATACATATCAAGAATCTCTACAATGTCCAAACAGGAATAAATTTAAAACTACAGCTATCATAATCATACTTTTGGAAGAAGAGCACAGCACAAATAATTTTTTTTCTCATCTGTAAAATGGGGTTTATGATAGCCACTTCCCCCAATGCATACAGTATTACTGAGAAGATTAAATGAACTGATATAACATAAGACCCTACTTTTATTTTTTTGTACCGGGGATCAAACTCCGGACCTTGGGCTTGCAAGGCAGGCAGCAGAACCACTGAGCTAAATCCTGGCCCTAAAAGGTGTCTTTTTTTTTTTTTTTTGGTACCGGGAATTGAATTTAGGACTGCTGCACTTGTGAGGCAGGCAGCACGGTGTCACTGAGCTAAATCCCTGGCCCAAGACCCTAAATATTGATATAACAGGCTCAAGGCATTTTAAGTTCATTTAATAATTAACTACTATGAGGAGGAAAAGGAAAAAACAGGGTTGTGTCAAAAAGTAACAGAGGGCCTTTCTATAGAATTGACTTAAGTCCTAAAGGACGATAAAGATTTAGTCAACCAAAGTGGACAGAACTCAGGGTCAGAGTCTCATATACCAAAGCCATATAATTATATGAAAAAAGGTTCATTATTACTATAAATATCCTTAAAATTGATGTCCTGGGCTTGGAAAACTCTAAGTAGCCTGAGGTGTCAAACATTTGAAAGATACTGTTTTACACTTGAGAGGAGGCAAAAAAAAAAAAAAAAGCATTTTAAGAAGGTAAAAATGGGGCCGGGGATTTAGCTCAGTGGTGCTGCTGCCTGCCTTGCAAGCACAAGGTCCTGAGTTTGATCCCTGGTACCAAAAAAAGAAGTTAAAAATGATCAACATTGTAGAAAACTGCTGGAGGTCCAATAGAAGACAACTGAAAAGTGTCCATTGAGACTTACAGCTGGAATCCAGACTGGAATAAATTGAACAGTGAGAAGAAACGAAAAAGTAAAATGGTGCTGCAAACCCTTTTTAATAAAGGAAGTAGGGCATCCAACAGTTTTCCTTTACAAAGAAAAAAATCTTAAGAGCAGCAAGAAAGAAGCCACTATCGGGTACCATGGAGGCTAAAACACAGTGGAAGAAGATACTCAGTGCTGAAAGATTATTACTAAAAACATATTCCAAAATGCCATTCTTTAAAAATTAAGCTGGGTGCAGTGGCATGCACGTAATCCTGGGACTCTGGGAAGCAGAGGCAGGAGGAACTCAAGTTCAAGTCTAGCCAGGGCAACTTGGAAACTTAGTGAGATCCTGTTTCGAAATAAAAAATAAAAAGAATTGGGCATGTAGCTCAAGGTAAAGGCCCTGGTTCAAACCCCAGCCCACAAAACATAAAAAAAGACCTCAACTTGTATTAACAAACACTTAAAGACACAGTTTGCATATTAACTGTACAATGGCGTGGGGGAGAAAACAGAACTACAAGAGCAAAATTTTTGTATCCTATTGAAATTAAGTGTGGGAAAATTTAGAGTACATTGTTATAAATTGTTAACTGTAATTTCTAAACAAATTCCAAAAACTATAGTAGATGAACAAGGGAACTAAAGTGATACACTAGAAATTAATCTACCATAAGAAGACAATAATAGAGGAAATGAGGCCTAAAAAGATATAGACAAGCCAGCCATGGTCACGCAAGCCTGTAATTCCAGTACTCTGGGAGGTTGAGGTAGGAGGATTATGAATTTGAAGCCAGCCAGACCTACATAGTTAAGAGGCCAGGCCTGGGACATAGGAAGACCCAGCTAAAAAACAAAACAAAATAAAACAATAACAAAAAATACTTCAGACATATAGAAAACAAATAGCTAAATTGCAGAAGTTCTACTTTATCAGGAATTACATTAAATGTACATGGATTTAACTCTCCAATTAAAAGCAGAATGGATTTTTAAAACACAGGTCCCACTATATATACACTGTTTATGAGACTATTTTAAATTTTTATTACTATATGTGTGAAATATATAATGATCACATTAATTGTGGGGAGTTGGTTCACATACATAACACATCTTAATTCTTTTTACATCCCCTTTGCATCACTTCCCTACCTCCTCCCTCCATCTCTTGGTCCCTTTCCCATTTGCAAAAGATCTATCTCCCTATTTTTTATTATTTATTTTTTATTTCGTTCTTTATTTATACTTTGAGTTTCCCATATAAAAGAATCCATGCAATATTTATGCTTCTATGTCTGATTTACTTCCCTTAATATTATGGTCTCAAGGTGCATCCATTTTCCAACAAATTTATCCTTCTTTATAGCAGAGTAGTATTCCATTGTGTATAAATACCACATTTTCTATCCATTCATCTGTTGGACACATAGGTCAATTCCAAGATTTAGGTATTATGAATTGTGCTATTATAAATATGGGAATGCATGTATCACTGTAATACGATGACATTAACTTTTTTTGGAAGATACCTAGAAGGGGAATAGTTGGGTTGAATCGAATTCCTATTTTTATTTTTTTGAGGAATCTCCATACTGATTTCCACAGTGGTTGCTTTAGTTTGTATTCCCACCAACAATGCAGAAGTGTTCCTTATTCCCTGTAGCTTCATCAGCATTAGTTATTATTTGATTTCTGTTTTTTTTTTATTTCTTGATGACAGCAATTAAGCCACTATGGAAATCAGAAGAGATTTCTTAAAAAAATTAAAAATAGAACTATCCTATAACCCAGCCATACCAATCCTTGGTATATACTCAAAGAAATTAAACCCAACGTAATATAGGGATGCCTGTATACCTATGCTAATTGTGGTATAATCTAAAATAGCCAAGATACAGAACCAACCTACGTGCCCATTAACTGATGAACAAAGAATATATATATATGAAAATATATATATATGGAAAAGTATATTAGCCACAAACGAACAAAATTATGTCATTTTCAGGAAAATGAATAAAATAGAAATCATCTTATTAAATGAAATAAACCAGACTCAGAAAGACAAGCATCACATTTTCCCTAATATGAGAAATCTCAAAAATAAAGACTTTTTTTTTAGTACTGGGGATTGAATCCAGGGCCTTGCAGTGAGTTATATCCCTAACTCTTTTTTATTTTTTTATCTTGAGACAGGGTCTCAGAAAGTTGCTAAATTGTCCAGATCGGCTCAAAGTTGTGATCTTCCTACCTCACTCTTTTAGAGATTACAGGTGAGATTACAGGTGGGGTTACAGGTGTGTAACACCATGCCTGTCTTAGAAGGGAGAAAATTATTAGATGAGAGAACGGAAATAAGAAGAAGGGGGACAGGATGTAAAAAAAGGCAGTATGGGGTGGATACTATCAAAATGTTATGTGCGTGTATAAAAATACCAGATTTATTTATTTATTTATTTTGGTACTGGGGATTGAACTCGGGACCTTTCACTAGCAAGGCAGCCAGCGGAATCACTGAGCTAAATCCCCAGCCCTAAAAATACCATATTTAAACCTAATATTTTATAAAATTAATATGTACTAGTAAAATATATAAGAAATTTATGATTATAAACACCTATATTAAAAAATCTCTAATCTTCCACCTTAAGAAACCAAAAAAAGCCGATCATGGTGGCGCATGCCTGTAATCCCAGCACTTGGGAGGCTGAGGCAGAAGGATTGCTGTGAGTTTGAGACCAGCCTGGGCTACATAATGAGTTCCAGGTCAGTCTCAACTACATAGTGTGACCCTGTTTCAAACAACAACAACAACTACAAAAAGAAACCAAGAGAAGAACTAAATTAAAAACAATCAGAAGGAAAAAAATAAGATTAAAGCACAAGTAAATGAACTACAAAACAGAGAATAAAGAAAACCAAAGGTTGGTTATTTGACATGAATGATCAAAATAAACTCAGGATAAACCCAGGTTTAACTCAGTGGTTCTGCCGCCTGCCTCTCAAAAGTGCAAGGACCTGAGCTCCATCCCTGGTACCAAAAAAAAAAAAAAAAAAAAAAAAAAAAAAAAAAAAAAGAAGGAGATTTGGAAATTTCAAATTTTCCTCTCGTTAAAGAAAATACTCTCTGGCAGGGCACAATGGTGCACACTTTAATCCCAGCACTCTGGAAGGCTGAGGCAAAAGGAATGCAAGTTTGAGCCCATCTTGGGCAATTTAGCAACACCCTGTCTCAAAATAAAAAATAAAAAAGGGCTGAGGATGTAGTCCAGTGTGAAGGCCTGGAATCAATCCCCAGTACCACAAAAAAACAAAACAAAACAATAACAGCAAAACATTCTGTGACAGGTGTTCTCTAGTATCACACAAAAACCAACCAACCAAACAAACAAACAAAAAAGAAGGGGCCAGGGGATTTAGCTCAGTGGTGCCAGTGCCTGCTTTGCAAGTGCAAGTTTGATCCCCAGTACCAAAAAAAACAAGAAAACAAACTCTGATAGGTATTCTCTAGGGACTGGCTTGAAAACAGTAACAATTATAGTTCTGAAGGCATATAAGCAAGGAAGTAAGTGGTTGGGACCAAGATAGTTCTTCACTGTAATATTTTTATGTTTAAGACATGCTTGATATTTTAGCACTAAGGGAGGCCAAGGCAGGAGGATTATTTGCAAGTTCCAGTCCAGCCTGGGCAATTTAGTGAGAGGCACACATAAATGTTCCTTTCAGCCCTAACTTACACTGCCATCGTGTGGCAATTTTAAAAATTCAAGTCAATTTTACTCAAGTCGTCCTAAAATTCCTGACCAGAGATTGCGATTGGCTTTCTGTTGTTCAACTTTTTATTTTCCCTTTGTCGGTTTAATAACAATATTATTTGAAAAATTTTAATACATGTATGTATACCTGGAATCACTGTCTGGAAAAACAAAGTAAAAATGGCATGACGCACAGAAAACCAGAAATCTATTGACTCTGCATAGATTATATTGACTTCTGACACCTTCATCCCCCTCTCACCAATATTAGAGTCTCTGGGAGTGCTCCTTCCCTGCAGGATTCTGCCTTCCTGATGGAAAAATAATACACATTAATAAATATATACTGTTCTGTAGCTTTCCTAGTCCCTGTTATTTCTCTGTATCTACACATTAAAGCATAAAATTCTCCTGGAGTGGGCATACTAGTCTAAGAAGGATCTATACTTTAATACTTCCAAAATGAAAATAATGAAGCTGGGTGTGGTGGTGCACACCTGTAATCCCAACTCTCAGAAGTCTGAAGCAGGAGGATCACTGTTAGTTCAAGGCCAGCCTGGACTACACAGCAAGACTATCTCAAAAAAACCAAACAAGATGAACACTATGAATTCATCCTTTCAACACTTTCACTTCTAACATCTGGTCTCCAATGCCAAACCAAAACAGGGTCTGCATAGGATCACATAATTTATACTAGAAACCAATATAAATTTAAGATTTTAGTCCTAATTTTTTGCTTCTATTAAGCATTAGAAACCTCAGTCTAGAAAGAGAAAGTGAATATTACTTACTTGTCCCACAGGACCAAAGCCAGGCACTCTATAAGGGAGAGATTCCACAGAGGAAGACCGACTGTAAAAGGTGAGATGAAAGAAATGAAGAAAAACTGGTGTTAAACTTGGATATAGACTTAAAGTCTCTTCAGTTCCAATATGAGCCACATCTAACTATTTCTTTCCTCTTCCACCTTTTACAAGTGGTTTAAATGTTGCTTACAGGCCTTTTACTCACCTGACCACCTGGCTGCTATGTTGGGAACTGGGTCTTGGAGTAACTGAAAATAAATAAATAAATAAATTAATTAATTAATTAAATAAATAAATAAATAAAGTGCAGGATGAAAAGCTGCTGTCAGTGGCATGCTCTGCCTCATCTAGCCAATCGGTTGAGAATGGTTATCTGGTTATATGATGCTTCTCATATCATACATAAGATTAGGAGAATCACATGGCTGAGGAAAAAACATCTTTCATGTGGGGAAAGGATATTTACTCATCTTACTCATCTCACACTTGGGGGAAAAAATACTCTGTACCTGACTGTGATGGAGAAGTAATGCACACTGGTCGAGGTGTAGTCAGCCTGTAAAAAACAAAAAGAAAGAGGCAGCTCTAATCTCACTAAGCAGAGCTTAAGTGCCACTTTAGGGAATCAATCAGATCACTGCTCATAAAAATACTAGCACAGATTGCTTAACTTCGTGTATTGCAGGTACCACGTGAAAATGTAAGAGCAAAGTTTCCATATGAGGCCCATTTACTCTCCAACTCCCTAAGTGAACTCTCCACTTCTCTACTGTCCATAGTAGTATTGTATTTTGGGGATTGAACTCAGGCCCTTCACATTGAGCTGTATCCCCCCTCAACTTTTTTTTTTTTTTTTTTTTTTTTTTTTTTTTTTAACTATACCACTGAGCTACATTTTCAGACCAGTAACTCTTTATTACAAAAGTAAAAGATAAATTTTTCAACCACTTTCCCCATCTTGGAGCGTACACAACCAGAAGTCATGAAAGAACAGGCTCAAAGCTTTCCAATTCAAAGAAATTAAGAGTGGTAAATGCTATTTACCTTGATTTGATCATTACACATTATATACATGTATCAACTTAATCACACTATGCCCCATAAATATATACAAATGTTAGGTGTCAAACAATAAAAAACATCAAAAATGTTAAAAATTACATTAAATTTTCAAGGCTGGGGGGCCAGTACACGCACTGATAAAACTGACCTGCTTCCTTGGTACCGACTTGGAGATTCCTGTAGGTAAAAAAATGAGAGTGAAGGAAGATGTAGATCAAAGGTCCTAACCCGTCTTACTTGTTAGATAACTCAGCCACAACCTCTCCCTGGTGGTCTAGTGGCTAGGCTAACTCACTGCAGTGTCCCCCAGTAGTGGTTGCTAAGATTTCCAGGAGAAAATAAAGCAGCAATGTTCCTTAAGAAATTGTTAGTTTTGAGGGAATCTAATTTTAGTTTCTCTTCATAAAAGCACATTAGAAATTCTATAAATTATTTTTTAATACTGGCGATTGAATCCAGAGCCTCCTGCACATTAGAGAAGTACTCTACTACTGAGCTATATCCCAGCCCTTCTTTCATTTCATTTTGAGATAAGGTCTCACTAAGGTTGTCCAGGTTAGCCTTGAATTTGCATTCTTCCCACTTCAACCTCCCAAGTGTCTGGATTACAGGCATTAACCACCACACCCAGTTAGAGAACCATGGAGTCTCTGGGATCTAATTACACTGTGCTAAAATGGGATCAATAGGACAATTATATAAATAAATAGCACAGTCTGAGGATGAAAGAAATGTCTAGGAAATAAGAGTATGCAAAAGAGGAAGAGTCTTTAGGCATCTTCTTTCGGTTGTTTTTGTCTTTTCTTTTTTGTGAGACAAGGTCTCATAGCTCACAGTAGCCTTGAACTTGCCATCCTTCTGCTTCAGCCTCCAGAGTGCTGAGATGAGAGGCAGGAGCCCTTGCGCCTGGCTTTCTTGGGCTTCTCAAAGAGAAATTTAAAAACTTATAACAGATGCCTTGTTTATAAAGAAGCTGCCTATCTGGGTGTGGAGGCACATACCTGCAATCTTGATACTCTTGGAGCCTGGGCAATTTGGGGACTTAGCAAGACCCTGTCTCAAAATAAAAAATAAATTACAAATTTTAAAAGGGCTGGGGATACAACTCAGTGTAAAGGCCTTGGGTTCAATCCCAAGAAACATGAGGGAAAAATGAGAGAGAGAAAGAGAGAGAGAAACAGAGACAGAGACAGAGACACAAAGTCTGGGGTGGGGGGAAAGTGGGAAACACTTTCTACTTTATTTTTTCTACATTATTCGCTGATACTCAAGAATTGGTTACAAGGGTTCTAAATACTGGTCAATCCTTTCAGCCCTCCCAGATTGTCTGGGGCCTCATCTATTAACTACAGTGTGCCTGAGTACAAATATTGTCAGTCTCTATGTGTGCCATGATATGGAATAGGTTAGGAAGTATTATTTTATACAGTCAGCTGGAGGAATGAAAAAGTAAGAGAGAATATAATAGTAAAGAAAACTTATTTCATTCACCTTTAGGAAGGCTAGAAATTTCTTCAGTTCTTCATTCTCTTTTCTCAAGACTGACAACTCTCTAAGCAAAAGATGGAAGCAATAAGCTCCAAGTCAGTGGGATAAAAAATATTAATATTACAATCACTATTACTATCAACATCTAGTTAATATTTGGAGATGCTTACAGATATACAGAGTATTTTTATCTAGGATCTGATGATTCAGAGAAACAATGGCAGCGTGTTGATGGTGAGAACAATCAAGTCAACAAAACAAGCAGTCAATTGGTATGATTTCAGTGGGATCAGTTTAGATTTCCATTTCCTCTCACATAATCTTAGCCTGCTGATGTCTAAAAATTTCCATCAAGGATTTCATCTTTTAGCTTAAGATCTCCAAAATATACCCTCCCAAAGATAACATTTAAAATATTGTATTTCTTTTTATCAGGGTGAATCATCTGATTTCTCTGAAGAAGCAGTCATTGATACAGGGAAGGAGAGGGAAGCCAGAAAGTGAGGAGGGCCCAGACATAAAAAATAAAAATATAAAATGGAGACTGAGGGGACCAACCAAAAAGTCTGTCCCCAATTTCCTCAAAACAAACATAATATACATGGGAAAATTTTCAATCTTTGCAAATACAAGAAAAGGACTATAATATCTCTGAAAGGAAAAAAAAAGCTATCTGTGGATTTGTTACTTACTTGTCCTGGCTGGTCACTGTTTGCTGTACCTCCTGAATGGCTGCTTCTAACTTTGTAATTCTATGCTTATAAAAAGCAATGAGGAGATCTGTTTGTTTCTTCTGGAAACTCCACACCTACTAGGAAAAAATAGGCCTTGGACATACATTCCCATGATTCCCTTTCCCTTAGCTTTGGCAACAAAGGGAAATCTATCAACTCATACTTCATTACTGCTCTTTTTCTTCTGGAACATTTATCTTAATTCATAAATCCCCAGGCCGGGGATTTAGCTCAGTGGTTCCACTGCCTGCCTCTCGAGTACAAGGACCCAAGTTAATCCCTGGTACCAGAAAACTAACTAAATAAATAAATCCCCAAAAGTAGACAGCTCAGCATTAGGGAAAGGGTTTTCATTTCCAACATGCTAGCTTTCTAATTTCTTAATTGTAATATTGTGACAGAGAATGGCCCTTTAAAAAAAAATAACATTTTATCCTATCAGAATTAGTTCTTGTCTATAATTAGCTTGGACTCTGCTCCCATAGCCTTAGGTATCACAGAGCCCTGGTCACCAATTTACTTTCCCTGAGACACGTATTCAGTCACTTGCAGGTAGTTCATGCTCCTGCAGTGAATGGTGAAGATTCATACAAGCACCTATTCCTGAATTTTATTTTTGGGCATGAACACATGATTTTATCTTTTGTGTCACTTTAACATTTGCTACACTGAGGTACAGAATTTATCATGGGATTGCTGAATCAGATCAAAAGTTAATATTTAGATTGTATTTTAGCTTTGTCAACTTCTACTTTTGAATACACAGCAGTATTTATGTCTCATCTGCTTTCTCCCTGCTCAGACCATAAACTTCTGTCAAGGGTCCTTCTCTAGATCTCAGTACTCCTCACATAAATATTTTCATCTAATTTGCAAATTGCTTTTGCCACTTACTACAATATTGAAAGTCTAAATTAGTTCTTGAGAGATAAGAATATATTGTAGTTTATTTTTCTACAAAGGCTTTACTCTTTTTTTAGTGTTATTTTTGGAGGGTGGTTGTTTTTGTTTTTGTTTTTACTTTGGTACTGCAGATTGGAACCCAGGGAGTACTGAACTAAATCTCCAGCCCTTCCCTTTTTTATTTTGAGACAGGATCTTGCTAGGTTGTCCAGGTTGGCCTCAAACTTGCAATCCTCCTCCTGCTCAGCCTCCTGAGCAGCTAGGATCACAGGCATGTGCCATCCCGAATAGCTAAAGATATTGTTTGTTTGTTTTTATAAAATTAAGGCATGTCTGGTTTAGAAAATTCAGCCAGAGCACCAGCAGAAAAATGTCACTCAGAATCCTAGGAGTTATCTAAAGTTATGGGAGGAGTTTTAGGGAGCAACAGACATTATGAGTAGATAGAATAAATAGCCAAGACACAGTATCCTTAACATTCTAATCCTACCCTTAGGATCAGTCTGTGATAAAATTAAGTTGTCAGGCTAGCATCAAGAAAACCCAAATCTTATTCTAGACATTTCTCTCTGAGATCACCAAGCCTCATATATACACAGAAAACAGACCCCACTGTGGAACCCTAGTGAGCCAGACTACAATGTGGCAGGGCCTTTTGCCTATGCCTAAGCAAAAGGGCAGAAGAAAGCAAAAACAGAACAAAACAGAATAATTTCAAAACAGGTGTGTTCAAAAGGGATCTAGGAGTATTAGAAATGCTTGCTTTGTGCAGAAGAAAAAGTGGTAACCATAAGAGGAAAAATGAGAACTATAGGGTAAAACAGATGAAACTATCATGCTGTCTGGTTGCTTTTCTGTTCTTTATGGACATTCACATTCAGACCCCAGCAATGATGTTGTCCATGGGGCATGTAGTAACCAATATGGCAGACCTGAGATGAAGCTGAAAATACGAAAGCTGGGAGCAAGGAAGAGCCTTGAATCTTGAGGTAGGATGCTGACTCTAAGATGCCCTTGAGCAGTGGAGCCTCTGGAGGGAAAGGAGTGGATGCAAACCCGGTTGAGACATATAACAGTAGGGATGAATGGGACACTGGAGTAGGGAATCTCTCATTGACCTAGATACCGATCTGGAAAAGGAACAGCAGAAATGAAATGTCAGGCTCAAAGGAGGTGGGATACCAGCGCCCAGTGCTGTGGCCACACTGCCAGATATCAAGTTTGTGGCTTCAGTATCATGTCCTCAAGGGAAGAGAGGCAAATCAAAATCCAAAAGGAATAAGAGTGGCAAAGACACTAGCAAACCCACTCCAGTAACTTCCTTGTTCATTCCAAGTGAGGGGGCAGCTGGCAAGAAAGTGGTTCAGGGGTGCTCAGGAGCTGGTGCCAGTGCAGGAGGCCTGGTTGTGGCTATTGCTCCCCAAGGGCTTGGAGATGGCATCTAAGGCATCATGCAGTGTGGCTGGCTCCAAAAAGGAGGAGAACAGTTCATCTAAGAGCAAGAAAGAGAGAAGTGAAGGAGTGGGGACTTGTTCAGAAAAGGATCCTGAGGTCCTCTGGCCAATTGCCTTGGGAGGAGAGGTGGTCAGTAAAATGGAAGTGCAGGGGTGATACAGAGGAGACACTTGGGAGTATAGCTAGTGAGCCTGGGGCAGTGCTGAATCTTTTGGGAGCTAAACTGGATCCAGAGGAAGGGGAAAATGAGTGTCCACCTGCTAAAGTCTGAAAAGGTAAGAAGTAACTAGATCTGGCTGCCTACTGCCGGTCAAAACTGCCCTGGATTAACTGCCAAATGTGGTGGGCACACTGTGGGAAGCTCATTAGTTTGTGGGTAATGACCAATTATGAGGTCAGAGCAGCTGGTAATGATAATGTGGTTTTACTCCAAAGTAGGATTCCCTACAGACCCATTTACAGCAAGCCTGGACATTTCTGAATAGTGTATCTATTGTGGGGATAGCTACTTGGTAGCATGAATTTTCTGCTATCTTGTTACTGTCCTACCTCATACATTTGTTGCTAGAGGCTGACTTCAAACCTTTACGTGGTTTCCTGCTTGATCGACATTTATCATCAAAGTCATAATAGTTGACACACTTAATAGACCTTTGGTTACATGTACAGGTTGAGTGCTGTTCTTTTTTGTTTGTTTGTTTGTTTTCTTTTTTTCTTTTGGTACCAGGGATTGAACTCAGGTACTTGTGCTTATAAGGCAGGCACCAGCACCACTAAGCTAAATCCCCAGCCCTGAGTGCTGTTCTTAAAGGGATAAATGGTTACTGGTGGGTTTCTAAAAGAACAAAGGTTAATTAAATTTCATGGGGTTATCTAAAAAAACAATTTTCAAATAAATTTCCTTATAAAGGTTAAAACAGAGGAGACTTCCTTATCATACTGGATAAATTTGGCCTGTTTGGACACTTGGCTATTACCTCTCTCTCTCCTGACTTCTTAGAAGGTCAAGTACAACAGTTTGGGCTTGATGGTGAGGAACTTCAGCAGGAATAAATCTACTTTGGGATACTGGGTCTAGTGTAGAAGCTTAGTCAAAACTAATGGCTTCCTATAAATCTTATTTAACATATGAAATGTAATTTCTATTCTATTTACTGAAGAGAATATTTTAAAACTAGTTCTGCCGGGCGTGGTAGTACACACCTGTAATCCCAGCACTAGGGAGGCTGAGGCAGGAGGATCACTGTGAGTTGGAGACCAGCATGGGCTACATAGTGAGTTCCAGGTCAGTCTCAACTACACAGTGAGTCTATGTAGTGTCTCAAAAACAAAACAAAAAAACACTGAAAGATACTGTTAGTCAGCTTTCTATTGCTGTGACAAAATACCAGGAATAACAAACTTTAAGGAGGAACAATTTATATGTGCTCATAGTTTCAGAGGTTTCAGCCCACTGCCATTTGGCCTGTGGCAAGGCAGTATATCAAGTGGGAGTACGTGATAGAGAATGTCCTCACCTCATGGCAGCCAGAAGGCAGAGAGAGGGGCAAGGGCACACCTTCCTTCTACTAGGCCCCATCTCTTAAAGCTTTCATCACTTGCTGGGATTTGGCTCAGTGGTGCCACCGCCTGTCTCACAAGTGCAAGGTCCTGAGTTTGATCCCCAATACCAAAAAATACAAAGCAAAAACCAAAAACTAAAACAAAACAAAACAAAAAAGCATTCCATTTATCAGAATAGTATGTTCTTTGGAAATGAATATTAGCTTGGTAGTTTCTCTTACTGTGCAAAAACTTTTTAATAAGATGAGATCAGAGTTGTTGATTCTTTATGATATTTCCTGTGTGATTGGGTTTTGTTTATAAAGTCTTTGCCTATGCCAATGTCTTCCAGAATTCTACCTATTCTCTCTTCTAGCAGATTTAGTGTTTCTACTTTAATATTTAGATCTCTGATCCATTTTGATTTGGGTTTAGTGCCTGGTAAAAGATATGGGTCTAGTCTCAATCTTTGGCATGTGGAAAGCCAGTTTTTCCAGTGGTATTTATTAAAGATGCTCTTTCTTCTACTGAAAATGTCTGGCTCCTTTTTCAAAGATAAGATTCCTGAGTGTATTTGGAGTTGTTTCTGCATTTTCTAATCTGTTCCACTGATTCACAGGTCTGTTTTTTTGTTTGTGTCTGCCATGCTGCTTTTTATCACAGTAGCCTTGTAGTATAATTCGAAGTCAGGGCCTTTCTGGCCCAGAATTGCTTGTGCTATTCTAGGTCTCTTCTGGTTCCAAATGAATTTTAAGACTGTTTTCTCTAACTCTATGAGATATAATACTACTGGAATTTTGATTGGGATTCCATTAAATCTGTGTAACAATTCTGGAAGTCTGGCCATTTTCACTATATTAGCTCTCCCCACCCAAGAATAAGGGATGTATTTCCATTTTCTTATATCTTCTTCAATCTCTCTTTTCAGAGTGCTATAGTTTTCAGTGTAAAGGCCTTTTATTTCCTTTGTTAGATTGATCCCTAGGTATTTCATTTTTTTGGATACTATTGTGAAAGGTATTGCTTCCCTAATTTCTCTCTCAGAACTCAAGAGGCTAAAGCAGAGGGATTGCTGCAAGTTCAAGGCCAGTTTAGGCTACATAGTGAGTTCAAGGGCAGCCTGGAATATATAGTGACTCCTGTCTCAAAAAAAAGAGTTCCATCTAAAAAGGAT